AAAAAAAAACATGCACATAAGTGATGCTCAAACTTTGCTGTATAGAAGAATCATTCCAGGAAGGGGTTTAGGAGGAAATTTCCAAGTGGGTTTCACTGTTGTCCTGATTTAGCATATCTTGGGTGGAATCTAAGACTCTATTTTAAACAAAAATTAGACTAACTGTAATACAGGTGGTCCATGCACTATTTTTGAAGCATTAATAAATTAAATCTGATTCCTTCCCCAGGGATAATTACAGTCAATAATATTGTCAGTTTATGTTGAAAGACACTAGCATTTTGAATACAATTCCATTCATAATATCTCCATAAAACCATTTTCTAAGATTCGGCAATATTTTGACCTGGAATAAAGAATGGATGAAATGAGGTACTATGTTATTTGCCATAGGTTTTCTGCAACTGGGGCACAAGAGTCATGGTTATCCCTTCACATGGGCTGTTTCTGTTTTCTCCGGTTAAGTGTTGAAGTGGTTGGGAGGAGGAAGAGCAAAGACAGTGGAATGTCCCTAGGGATGCTGATGCCACCCAGCAATAGCAGAAATTCAGATGGAAGGTGTGCATGAGAAAGCAGGAAAGCAAGTCATTTTCAGAATAAAGCAAGGGTGGGTACACCCTCTGAATCGGGGAGAGTTTTGAAGGAAGACTATAAAATAACAACCTGGATGTAGTAATCGGAGCCAGTCTCTGTCCCTAGATCCTGAGGTTCCCAGGGCTTGGGAGAATGCCTCGTCTTTGCTAAGAAGTGGGAAGGAATGTGGTTGCCAAGGGGACCCAGTGGCTAAGACAGAAAGATGCCAAAGAAAGGTACTGGATTCCTCCCAACATCTTTGTATTTGGTCCAAAGAGACTTCTTCAAACAATGAACTGTTGCCTGGAGATACACTAGATACAGCACCCAAGGACAAGTGCACCCTGAGCAAGGATAAGGACACACAGAAGATGATAACATCACTGCTGGCACAATGCGGACATGGTCAAGGAAATGTTCGGCACCTGCTTTTCCCTTGTGAGCTTGGTGGGTGAAAGAACATGCACTTCAGAGCAGGGGTGGAAAGCCAGGGCCTGGGGCCAGGCAGGGGAGATGGTAGGGTGGAGTGAGAACATGGAGGGGTCTCCAGACCCCCTCACCTGGGCCCAACTGTTTTCCAGTGGGAATGTGGGATATGGGGTAACAAATCCCATCGTGTTAAGGAGAAAGCTCCAGTTTTAAAATGTTGGCAGCTAACAAATATTAAATAAAATGCACTGTAGGCCAAAGCAAATACATCCATGTCTGCATCTGGCCCTAGGGGCTGCTAGTGTGTGGTCTCTATTTTGGAGTCAGAAAGACTTTGTCTTGATTCTGGCTCTGGGACTAGTTATGAAACCTCTCTGATATTCAGGTTTTTCATTCATAAAATGGTGGGTGGGATAATACTTTATTTTTAGATTTTGTGGACAAGGTTTAGGACTATTCTTCATGTCATTGAATGAGTGTAAAGTATTTTTTCTGGTGTCTGCTACCTTAGTCATGATAATAAATGGCTCTTCTATTGACAGGAATCATGAGATTGTTCATGATTCTTTGCAAAAATAATCAAACAGTACATACATTTAGAAATATAAAATATTGCTTTGTCTACAACCCTTTAGGCTACGTGTGTCTGTCAGTATAGCAAAGGTAGGTGGCAAAGATCCCCTTTGGTTACCCCGGCTTGGTGTCTTCTCTCTAAATTCTCTGGTCCTGTGGATGTCTGAAAGTTATAAGGCAGAAATATAAAGGAAGAATAGGATCTTTAACCTTCAGCAACAAAAACATTTGCTACGGTAACTCTCTGCGTCTCCCTCTGTTGGACAGAGTTCAAGGCCAATCAGATGGAATCAGTTCCTTGGGAGACCTAAGACATGTTCCAGAGACAACAGAGATTTTATGTTCACAGAAGAAGGGACAGATCGCAAATGAACAAACAAATTAATGAAGCAAAAAAAGAAAAGAAAAACACTCATGGAAGCAAAGTCTCCACTTTTTCCTAAGTGTCTGATGTGTGTCACGTGAGAAAATAATTTTGACTTTTCCCACTGATCCATCAGATGGTTCATGAAGAGATGAGGTTTCAGAACTGAATAATCTGAGATTCTTTGGTGAGTTAACATGACACAAATGTCCAAGTAGACAGACAAGACAACATTCCAAAATACGGGTGAGAGCTGAGCAGAGCCTCAGAGGTGGAAAAAGACGAGGGCTTCAATGGATTTGAAGAGATTTGCATGGAAGGCTGTGACCTTGGGAAGAACTGAGATGCCAGTGACTAGGCCCTTTGAGGAGTGAATGGTGTGAGGGATGTTCTGCAGGACTCCCGACTCCTCAGACTTGGCCTTCTTCAGGCAGTGTGTCCCGCTGGCTTGGGAGAAGCCCCTCGCTTTCTAGCTCAGCCCTTATCCCTCTTGACCTTTCCCAAAGGGCCTTCCCTTGGGTTAAAGCAAACGGCCCCCCCGGTCCTTTCCAAAAACCTCCCAAAGCAAGTTAAGTAACCGAACAACAAAAACGGGTCCGCCGGAAGAAAAACCAAGCAAAAGGAAAAATGCCTAACTCCCCCCAAGAAGGGGCAACGGGAACCAACCGCCGAACCCCCAACAACCTGAAGAAGAAACGAAAGAAGGAAAGGCCTCAGGGAAGAAAAGGGCCGGCCCCTCCCCCCCCTAAACGGAATCCCCTGAACCTGAACGCCCCCAACCGGAAATTCCTGGGAAAAAGAAAATTTCTTTTTAATAAGCCAAAATTTTTTTCAAGGGCCTTTTTGGTCAATTTTTAAAAAAAAAACAACCCCGGAACCAAGGGGGGTTAAAAAAATGTAGAACAAGGGGAAGACTAATTTCTTCAAAAATCTTTGAGTCAGCAGGAATAAAGGGATAAACTGGTTTGAAATGTACTAACTAAATGCACACATATTTATATTTGTATTAAAAAATCGATATATATATATATATATTTACCTTTAGCTGTTTTAAATTTAGGTAAGAGAAAGCAAAAGTAAATACTTAAGTTTATAATATTTTAAGAAAAGAGTTTGGCAGTGATATTTGCTGCTTGCATTTATCCTGGCTCCCTACCTCCTTCCTAACTGTCTCTTTTGGTTAGTTACTTAACAACATTTTTAGTCCCTTTTTTATATGTGTGAAGGGAGGGGGCTGCTTATAATAGCATCTAAGTTCTTACTTATATGGAGAATAGGTAGATTATTGTATGGAAAATACTTAAGCAGTGCCCAATGCACAGAAATATGGAATAAATGTTAGCTGTGATCATGAATATTATTATCATGATTATGATTGAGATTGAGAAGGTAGGATCCTGGGAGGATTAAATGAAGTTAGCTTTGTTCCAAAGGTCTTGGGTGAGTGAGCTACTATTGAACGACTTTGGCCAGCCTTTCTTCAAATATCGGAACCCCTTGGGATGTTACTTCTGGTAGAAAAGAAACTTCTACTTCTCCATGTACCATAAAGACCTAGAGGCTGAAAATGCCCCAAGAGGCCAAGTAAGATCTCACATCATGAAGATGTTTACTGTGTTGGCTGTCTGCTGTTCCCAAATTCTACCAACTCAGCAGGAGATCTCAAAGAGAACGCTAATAAAATCTTCTGTATCTGCTCATATATTCCCCTCTGCAATCACTATGTGTTTTAGGGGATAATACTTTTTGAACAGCAATTATTCCTGAATAAAATGTAAAAGTATATTTCTCCCTTCTAATTATAAAGTTTAGTCAGGTAGCTCTTGAATGGCTAGAGAATGTTTCATAGACTGTAAAATTAGAGAATATAGCACACGGTCTCATGTTTCCATTGGCTTAGTGGATATTTCCAAACACATATGAGGAAATACAAAATTGGGTGTTCTTCACCACACGTCCTTTGAAGTTTGTGGTGGTTTCTGGATGCGATCACATCCATAATGCATATCCATAGGTAGCTTCCCAGGTCAAATAACTGTGGCTTTGCATTTAATTGCCAACTTGTTACCTTAATAGCAATTCCAGACAGGGGAAAACAGAGTGAAGGACCTGCCCATCGTGTTACTGCTGCCTATAAAAACAAATAGGATCCTTAGGGTTTAATTAGAGGACACATAATTACACTTAAAGGATGTTAGTGTTAAAATGGGAACATTGGACATCTGGAAGATGAGTCTGGATATGGTCATTGCCTTTAGAAACTAAATTCACGAAACTTTAACTGTCCAAAGGAACAGCGATGTCCCCACCTGAATTTATACGCAGGCAGACATGATGAGGGCCGACGTGACCTGGCTTGCAAAGCAGAAGAGTGCAGGGGTCATAAATGACGAAGGTATTCAAAATCATAAGGACTTCAGGAGAATGACTGGTGTCTCTGGTTCTAACATGAAAAGAAAGCATCTAAAATGAAGAGTAGTAGGTGCCTGAACAGATTGTACTTCTGGGGCAAAAACACACCTGGTCTTTGGGAGGCACAACCGTATGAACATACAGCTTCAGAGAGTTTATTTAAGGAATGAGAGAACAAAGGACCATCTGTAGTTATATAGACTCCACTGAGCCTCAGTGAAGGGTCAGAAAGGGATAGAGTTCTTCCCTTTCATTATGGGAAGTGTGTTCCAAGTCCCCCAGTGGGTACTTTAAACCATGGGCAGTAGTACCAAACTCTGTATAGGCTATATATTTTTCCTATACATATACTTGTGGTAAAGTTTAATTCATAAATTACACACAGTAAGAGAGTAATAATAACTAATAGGAAATTGGCAATTATTACAATATATTGCAATAAAATTTGCATAAATATGGTCTCTCTCTCTCTCTCTCTCTCTCTCTCTCTCTCTCTCTCTCTCTCAGATATCTCACTGCAATATACTACCCTTCTTGTGGTGATGTGTGACCATACAATGCCTATGTGATGAAATGAAGTGAGGTGAATGATACAGACATGGTGATGTAGTACTAGGCTACTACATAAAGGTTACTTAAACACAAGTAAGGCAATACCATGATAGTCAATCTGCTAATAGATGACTACTAAGTAACCAACGAACAGGTAGCTTATACAGCATGGGCACGCTGAACAAAGGGGAGTGTCATGTTTCAGGTGAGTTAGAATGGGAGGGCGAGAGGTTGCATCATGTTACAAAGGGTGGTGCATACTTTAAAACTTATGAATGACTTATTTCTGGAATTTCTCATTTAATATTTTCAGACTATGGTTGGTCACAGGTAACGGAAGCTGTGGAGAGTGAAACCACAGATAGGGGAGGAGCCTATACAGCAAAAGGTACAGAATAGCTAGTGATAGAGAGCATTGTACATCATTTTTTCCCTGCCACACACCTTCTGTATCATCGAAGCTGAATAATCGTGTGTGTGTGTGTGTGTGTGTGTGTGTGTGTGTGTGTGTGTGTGTCCCACCCTCCTCAATCCATTAGAAATGCCAATAAAAGGACAGGACACTTGCTCCCATCTTTTTTTCTTTCCAAAGCTATGAAAAGAAAACTATTTTTTTTTTTTGCTATGTGGTTTTAGAAATATCTTTTGAGAAAATTGCCTTTATTATAGATTCCATCTAAAACTAGCTTCGTTTAGTTTAGGATAAAATTTCAGATTTCTTAGGATATTTTATATTCTCTGTCTTTCTCTATAAAATGATAATTACATTGTCTCTAAGATACTAAGACTCCATTCTCTAGAGCATAGCAAAATTTTCATTTACATAATTTAGATTACCTTAGAGTAAAACACAGCTCATGTATGGTATAGAGGCAAAAGGGCATGGGATGGAAAAGTAGTAAAACATTGGTTGAGAATATTTAATCCTTCTGATGACTCAGCCTGTTACAGTATACTCACTGCTTAAGAGGCACAGATGGGCCCAGGCAGGTGTATGTAAAGAGTGGAGCCATTGACAAATAGACAGCCATGAAACGGAAGGGGAAAATGAAATAAGTACGACTGTAACCATCTTGGTCTATCAATATTTAATCCCTAATGCTATTTTTCCTTGAGAGACAGTACTTAATATTTACTGATAATCAGTCATAGCTTAGGGAGAAGAAAATGTTCCAGAATGGCATTTAAAAGAGGTTTGGCTGACATGTGCTTGGCTTAATTCAGGGTAATAGTTGACCAATTAAAATACATTTCTCATCATCTAAATGTGTCTTTTAATTTAGGTTCCTTTGGAAAAAATTTCCAAAATACATTGTCACATGGTCCTATTTTCCAAAGACTTTGATTTAACATTTGAATGCAATGGTATTTTACTTTGTTAGTATAGAATATTTAAACTTAAAAAGAAAATACCTTAATTTGCTTATGCATAAGCCTATTAAAAAACATTTCTAGGGGCTCTTGTTATGTTTATTCTCTAGAACATAACCTATCTTTGAAGTGGTATATTAGTTTTTAAAAAGTCATTCCCAAGCTGAATAATTAGACTGCAAACAAAAGCTATTCTTAGAGTGTATTCCACATATAAAGTTATGCACATGATGCTTTGATTCAAATAATATTCTTATAAAACTTTGTTATTGTTAGAGGTCTATATTCAGAAGGGCAACTTTTGTTTTTGATGATTATTCCATCCTGAAACGATTTCCCCTCTGCCCAATTAAACTGAAATTAGGAGCACATTTAGATCTGATGAGGCTTAAACCTCTCAGCCGTCTGCTTCAGAAATGAAGATTTTTAGCAGTTGTGTTCGTTTTGTCTCTTCACGGAGGGCTCAAAAGGAAACAGAATCAATCCTCTTAAGTTTTTCTGGAAGAGAAAGGTTGCTTTCATTTCTTTGATCTTAGCATGTCTCGCATTTTTTATTGGCTGCTAAATATAAAAAAGCTGTAGTTTCATCTGATTTTTCTGCTATATTCTCATACTATAAATACATAATATCTAAAGGAAAATGCCCAAGCCCAAAATATCATTTCAAAATGGATTTATCATTACAGTTGATAGAAAGATTTCCAGGGTGTAAGAAAACTCTCCAATGGTTTGATTATGCCACAGATTGTTAAAAATAGATTCATGCACTTCAGACAGTGAATTCCACAATATAGATACACATCCATGCTATTTTAGAACCCTTATTTTACCATCTCAAGAGGCTGTTTTTCAGTTAATGCAGCAGCTGGCTAGATTATTGCTTCAACAATGTGATCCATAATGCTAAAGCAGCTATTTTCCAAAAATGTTAAAGCAAGTTGCTTACATATCTTCGGTAGGTGATTTTCTTATACCTTTGTGCCAATTGCTATCATGCCATTCGGTAAAAATCATCATTAAATCAAGACAACTGCACCCAGTTAAATTTCCCTCATACAGAGAATCATAGAAAAATTACAGTAGCTGATTTGAGGGTGACATTAAGTAAATACAGAGCTTTAGAAAATAAATGCAAACTACAAAACTGGAGTTGTGTAATTAAACATCAAATAATCCAAGTAATAAAAGTCATAGATTAAGTGTCTCTCAGTTCTACTCAGATCCTTTAAATACTGTCTCACCACCTGAGTGTTGGTTCTTTCATCGGAAGAGTGCCTATCCTTAAAGTTTGGGAATTTCAGCTCTTTTGGAGCACCAATCAGCTGTAAAAAGTAATTGGCATCTTCTTCCAAAGTTTCAAACTTCCCTACAAAATCATAGTTGATCAAACACGGGTAGCAGAGTTTGCTGACCTTTTCCCAGTGAATGTCCATCCCTACTGGACGGTGAGAATCCAGCAAATAGTGGACGAATTCTTTGAATTTGACTCCAGATCCATTATTTAATGCTTCCTCACAGGCATTTGGTCGATATTTCTTTATAATCGCCTTTCCGAATACTGGATGATAGTAACTATTGGGATGTTCGAATTTATCCCTAAATGCTGACACTAATCTCTCCATGGGATCACGAACAAATATAGCTTTGGTGTAAGTATTTAAACGAGTATATATCCCTTTTAAGTCGAAGCTATCTAGCGTTTTCAAATGCTTCCCATAGTGAACAGCATCATGGGAGATGTTGTATGCAGAGGAAGCCAATCCATTCAGTACCATCAGAATTCTTTTCCAATTGGAACATCCAGCCTTTGGCACTTCACAATATAAGATCTTGTGTTTATCTTCTACATAGATCCTGGATACCATATGGAAGAGATGGGATTGGGGATGACCCACTCCGCCATATTTCTTGCAAAACTCCCCAAGGAAAGACCTGCGTTTCTCTTGTGTCACCTCAGTTTTCTTCCATTTGTTGTCTTTAACGAAACTTTTGTTTAAAGGCCGAATGTCCAAAGGCCAGTTCATCTCGTTGAACTTCTTGAAAATAGTCCTAGTTCCTTGATGTTTTTCAATCAGCTTATTGGTTGATGATGACCCTGAAATCTTACCCAGGGCTTGATCCTCTCCTTGTGTGTGGCTGGTCTTGGTTAATATCGCAGTGGGTATCTGGGACTTGAGTAGATTTTCCTTTTTTTCCTTCAGATCCTCAGGCATGTGAAATTTGGGGTTCTGCTAAAATAGAAAGGAGAAATGTTGGAAGCACATTCACAAGTGTGGGCATACTAGATAAGAAACATCACGTTTGTTTTAAAATATGACTGAGCAGAGCACATAACTTCATGTAAGCTGCCAGAAACAATTTAGCAAGGCATGCTAAACATATATCTTGTTGGAAGCTTCTTCACTGAAACACAACAATGAGAAATGAAAAATGGCACCCGGAGTGGACACAGACAGGATTAACAGAATGAAATGAAAAATAGTATCTACAGGATGGAGAGAAGGGGGCCCTGGATTTCAATCCTGATTTTGCCTATGGTGCAATCAAATGTAGCTTAATGTTTCTGTACATCAGTGATTCTTGAGATTTTAGTGTGCATATTATCTTCAAGTACTAACTTAGTGCATCAGAATGTGGGTATAAAACATAGTTACATTTGATTGATTTTTTTTGTTTGGTTTTTGGAGACTCTAATGCCCAGTATAGTTCAAAGTCATATGTTACAACTTAAAAATTATAACAGGCCACTTATCACATCTTGATGATCATTTCAGTTTTCTAAGCACTTGAAAATGTTGTATTTCTTTCTCTTGGAAAATGTTTTATTTTTATGAAATGATTCATCACAATAATTTGGGACCTAGAGTTATAAGATCATACAATTTCACTCATGTATGAGAACTTCCCTCTTTCCAAAGTGAAGAAAAATGAAGGAATCCAGAAAAGTCTAGTTGACATTCTGCTATGTAAAACAGTAGAAAAAGTAGAATGAGATATTAGTTCTCTTGCCTGAAGGATGAGTCTGCCCGTTTACCATGTGCTCTTCATCTGACTGTATGCTTCCTATAACTCTTGCATTAACTGGGTAAAGGAAGACCTGCAAGTTGGGATTTATAAGGTGGCATCATGGTAGATCCTCATCTCTGATAGAGACAAAAATTGTAAGGCCTTTTTTCTTTTGCTCTGGGTAAACTAAGGAGCCTTTGGAAGGCTCTAAGCACAGAAATAGCCTGACCTCTCTTGGAGATGGAAAGGATTATGGAAAAGGCCATCCTAGAGATAAATGTGCAGGGTCCTTGGCATGGTATTGGAACTTTCACAAACAAATGACACACAGTTAGGCTAAAGCATGTGCCACCAGCCTAGAGGTAGAGGAAGTAGTGGGGGGAGTTTCTTTTACCATTTGTTCCCTAGTATCTAGAATGGTTTCTAGCTGATTGTAGTTGCTCTCAATTTTTGTTGAAGGAATGAATGAATGGAATTAGGTCTTCAAGGATGACCAAGGAGTTTTTAGCGAATGAGTGAAAGACCAGAGGAAAGAAGCACTGGATGGAATCAGGCCTCTTGATCCTTCTACCCACCAAGCTTTAAGGGGGTTGCTGCTTTTCTAGTGCAAGAGGATTGAGAATATTTCCTCATCACTATTAACCTACTTGTATAGCACCATGAAAGAGCTGCCCCAAATCTTCTATATTTGCATACTGTTGACTCATCTATTTGGATTTTCAACTCTGAAATTTTTTGTCTGCTGTCTTCTCCAGAGACTACTAGGATGCCTTCCAAGCCCTACATCTTTCTTTGTTCTGATCAATGCTTTGTAGTCCATAAAGTTGTCACCAATACTATACAACTTGACTGTACATTTGAAAGATCACAGGGTTATTGGAACATGCATGGGAATTCTTAGCGCAGTATTTAGCGCCAAAATAAAATTGCCATGAATATTTCTATTACTACTTCTATTAAACCCATAAATAATACTAATTATTGTTGTTGTAGTAGTAGCTGTAGTAGTAATACCACTTTATCCCAGTGACATAATGAATTTCAAGGTTGCTTAGTTTTCCATTATGATCCACACTGCAATTTGTACGTCATTACATACGCACTAATCAATTTGCTCTTCTGCTTCACAAACAAAAACAGAAATAAAATCAGTCCTCCACGGTGTGACCTTATGCTCTATGGTCATCAAGCTCCCCTTTAATCTCCAGAGAATTTTGGAATGTTGGCTTTCCATAACTTTCTTTAAATGAAAACTGCCCTCCCCTCCGCGCCCCCCACCCTCCCACTCTGCTTCCCATACACTTTCTCAGGTGGATGAAACTTCATTTCCTGAAACCACTTCTCTCTCAGGCCAGTAAACTTAGTTCCTTGACCATCTCGCCTTTAACAGAAGAGTTCTCACTTCACATAACTATGGCCATCAACAGGGCCTGTCTCACCCTCACCATCTCCCCGTCCGCCATCAACATCAACCCACTGTTACTTCCCATTCTTCGGTTCTTTGACCCCTTCAACAGTTACCTGAGCTCTTAGCAGCCAGCACAGCTGGTTCTTCTTTCTTTGGCTAGTTAGAAAGTCACCTCCATGGAGAAGCTGTCTCTACCCATCCTGGCTAAATATGTTCCCCAACATTCTTTCCTGCAGCACCCTGCTGATTTTCCTTATAGCTCTAATTGCAATGAGAAATGACTTCACTTTAGGTACTTCTATGGTGTCTTTTTTCACCCCACTCCACCTCCATCACACTAGAACATAACTTCAGAGATCGTATCTTCCTCATTCTCAGGGTGCTTAGCACACACAGTGCTTGGCGCGTAGAAGATGATCAATAAATAATTGTGGAAAGTACAAATGTGGTTATTATTTAATGGTGGGATTCCAAATGATTGTTTTATGACCTTGTTGGGAAAAAAAAACCCACAGCATTTATCAAAAGTCAAGGTTAACTTAGATAAATAGTTGACCACTTCTTGTTAAGGAACTGAAAAAATCTGTGTTCAAACAATCTTTGGCAGAAAAGAAAACAAATAAAATACACACATGCGTAGCTGCGTGTGTTAAAGTAGGTGTGGAGGCATGTAGCCTTACCTGCCTGCCAAATCAGATTGGTTCAAAGTCACTCAATGCTGCCTTGGAGTCTCTGGAGGGTTTGTTAGTGTTCTGGATTCCCAGGCCGTACTGGGGTCACACTAAATCAGAATCTCTAAGGGTGAGGCTCCTGGATTTAATTTTAAAAAGCTATCCAGGTGTTGCATAGGCTTCTGGGGAACACCCAATTAGAAAATAACAAAGGGAATTTAAAAAAAATAAAAGATATGATCTGGAGAGTTCCTCTCCTATCCAGGGGAGAAAAACAAAATGGTAGACTTGAATATACTAGTAAGAAGAGAGAGAAATTGAATATAAGGTAGAAATTTCATATCCACTCTCACCTAGACCAGATGAAACACCTTCTCTGCTTATCCCCTTCCCTTTGCTAGAATTCCATGCTCATCAGGAAGCTTTCTCAGGACTAGTTCAACCAGGGAGCTCATCTGAGAGATGAGTCCATCACTCATTGCAAGTCAAACTTTATTCTCATTTTAGTTTATTCAGCTTTGTTCAATTTTCTCCACTCTGACTGTATTGAGATATAGGAAAAGAGTTAATTGTCTAAAGTGGTAGCTCCAGCACCCAAAAAACCCTCATGGGTGACCACCAGACCTTCTTCCAGAATCCCTCCTGTTACCATCACTCAGCTTATAAAACCTATTACCAGGATCTGTTGGTCCCTCCCCTTATCACCCCTTCCATTTCCTTCCAATCCCAGTAAGGGATGAGGATCACTAAGATCAAAACTAACAGCGTGTTAGCCTTGAGGCTTATATCACAACCCTAATGAGAATAACAACAGTAAGAAAAAGAGTAAAATCTGACACCTCCATTTTCCGGAGGGTACTTCATTCTGATTACCCCGGAAGAAAACATGCATCTAGCCACCAGAGGCTCTTCCTGAGCTCTTTTCTATTTCTGAAATGGTCCCATAACTTTCTGGACACCCACTCACAAAATCCTGAGAGCTGCTTTCATAATCAGAAAGTAAATTGGCTAGTCTATATTTCATAATGCCTCTATCTTTTAAAATTCATCACCTCTTAATGGGATATTCTTTAGCTCTAATTAGTCTTCCTGCAAATTATGATGAAATCAGTCTTCCCCAAACACTTCGTTTTTCATCCTTTAACATTTTGGACTGGATCCACTAGATATAAACTGAAGTCCTGATTTCTTAGCTGACATGTTCAGCCTGGTGCTACTGGGCCCCTTTCTTTGTGTTCTTGCATCTCTTTCAACACAGATTCTGTGCCCCACTTCATTCCAACCTTGGCCTCCCCTCATCCATCACCTACTTCTTTCTTGGGATTTTCAAAATCTTCTAGGTCAATCCCACCTTCTTCATGAAACCACCCAGACCTCCACTGAGGGACTCGACTCTCTTCTAAAAGACTTTTGCAATTAGTCTGTACCATGTATGCAGAAAATTAATTTCATTCCAGCTTACAGTTGTTATTTGATTTCTTTACTTGAAAGCTATGGCTTTCGTTTTCCAAAAATACTTCTAAAAGAGTGGATGTTGCAAAGTTAGTTGCAAGATATATAACCTCAGAAAACATTCAAATATGTCAAAGGGTAAAAACTTGTGGAATAATCATTAACTCTGGAATGTATTTGAAAACTTCATTCATGTTATTTTTTTTTCAAGGTCTCTGCATCAAGTATATCTCCTCTGTGAATTCTTCTCTGATCTACAACATTGAAATGAATGGTTCACATTTTCTCCTGCCAAACTTTGGGAGCCTGGTAAATGTCAAGTTTCTGCTGGATGTCAGGGCTTGCTTGGTGGGCAAGACTAGTGTGGTTCTTGTCCACATGGAGCTAATGTTCTCACAGGGAAATGTATACTCAGCAAATAGTTACTTAATTAATATGTGACCATAGGTTCTAGCACTCTGCTATCAGGAGCCAGAACAGCAGAAATGGCTGGTGGGAGTGCTAACTGAATTTGTGGGCTTTGAAGGCACTGCCTAGGGAGTACTGTAGTAATTACATTGTCTGCCATTTACTGAGTGCCCGCTATGTGCCTGACCCACAACACACACTGCGTGTACTGCCGTGATCATCTTTCACTCCTGTTTTACAGATGATAAATGGAGTCTCAAAAACACTACATAATTTCTTTAAGGCATTCATCTAAAGAAAATGTGACAATTCATGAACCCATTTTTTTTTCTTGGCTGAAAGACTTTTCCTGTTCTTATTTTACCATGCAGAGACCTAGGGCAGGACATGGAGGGCCCCTCTACCAGGAGAAGGGTGTAGGAGAAAGGGAATGGGACTATAAAAGCTATTGCTCTATAAATAAATGTGTTCCTTCTTTAAGGAAGTTGAGTTCTTTAAGGGAGCTATTATTTTTCCCTGTACAAGAAAGTCAGGCATCTCCATGACTCCTGCTCTATGGAACATGGGGTAGGAGGAAGCATGGGTCATACTGAGACCTTAGATGTCCTTTTGTAAGATTGGAAGCACATGACTTGGTCTAGACCCAACCCTGAGTTGCAGGAACACATTTGGATTTCTAGTTACCATGAGAAGGTCCGCCTTCATTAGATATGAACGGAAGGCCATGGCACCTGGCACATGATTGCAGGCAGAACTCTTGGGCTTCCTGGGACTCAAGTTACTTTATCTGAAAAGTGAGGCTAAATGTAGTAACTACATCCCAGGTGGTGAGGATTACTTGCGTTAATAGAAACAAAA